AGCAGCTCCCTGGCTGCTGCCACGTGTCCATGGCCGGTGCCACCTCCCGGGGGGCACCCCGGGGCTCCAGGGCCACCCCAGCACCACCTGAAGGGCCCCGAGTGGGGGACACGGCCCCTGCGCTGCCCACGGGCACCACCAGCCACTTTGCCTCCTGGGCTCACATCTCCAAGGCTCTTCTGTAATGGGAGGGTTGACAATCAGGTTTGTTTTCCAGTTTCTCTCCAAAGGCAAGTCCTGGTGTGTCCCCAGGGATGGAACCAGGTGAATCTTCCCTCCCACGTGTTCCAGGGAGCTCCCATCCTCGCTGTCCTGCCTGTGGCATCGCTGGCTCGAGGAGCTCTTCCCTGGGAATGCCCACCTGCCCCTTGACTCATTTTCTGGCATCAGGCTCCACCAGCTCTGCAGCTTTGCCTGGTCCATCCTGGTTTCCCTGCTGGGGTGGCTCCATGTCCTGCCCCAAGAGTGTGAGCAGCTGCTGCCCGTGTCCCTGGGCAGGCTGGGGCTGGGCTGGGCACAGGGACCTGTGCTGGGGGGTTGGGTGCTGCCCAGGAAGGGCCTGGCAGTGGTGGGTGGGCTGGCCTGGAGCTGCCACCCTCCCTCTGGGTATTTCAGGCCGTGATCCCAGGCTGGTGGCAGCCAGGGGCAGGGTCAGGTTTCCCAGAGGCTGTGCTCTGGATGGGCACACCCGGGTGGCAGCTGCCCGTGGGTCGGGGCTGCTCCAGGGAGGGAAAGGCATCCCAGCCTGCCAGGGGAGCAGCTCCAGACACCTCAGCTCCATGGCAGGCACCTTCTGGTGTGCAGAGCCTGCAGCAGGGACAGGAGCAGTGGACAGGGACACGGGATGTGTCCCCATGACTCTCCTGCAGGCAGCAGCTTCCCGGTCCCTGCTGGGGTCTGGTTCCTCTCACCAGCCCCAGCTGCCCATGGTTTGGTGGTGTGAGGGTGCTGAAGTGGACTGTTGCCCTGGTCTAAGGGCCATGAATCTACCTCTGAAGCCTCTAAACTGTGGAGGCCTTGCCTCACTCACACGTCTCCACAGCCCCTGCCAAGCACCCTCTGGGTTTTCATCTCTTCTGAAGTTACAGCCACACACAGACAGTCTGGGCAGGTCCTGTCACCTGCACCTGTACTCACACATCTCTCCACAGCACCTGCCAAGCACCCTCTGGGTTTTCCTCTCTTCTGAAGTTACAGCCACACACAGTCTGGGCAGGTCCTGTCACCTGCACCTGGAGCTGAAAACATCGTGCAAAGGGAAACCAGAATCCACCCCTGGTTTGCTGCTGAGTGATGCCCAAGTCTGCCCAGCTCAGGCTTCTAAGTTTATAACAACATGATGACCTTGCTGCAGTGATTCAGACCGAGAGCAGGATGTTCCTTATTGCTCCCACCTTGACTTCCCAGCCCACTGGAAGAGCTCAAAGGTGGCATCTAAGAAGGTGTTGCACTTATAGGAGCAAATGGGGTTCTTGCTCAGCAGCTCACCCAGGTAACCACGGATCTCCCGAGAGCAGCCAAGGCACCTTCTGAAAAAGGGCTAATGCAACCAGCTGGGGGAAGAGGAAGGATCAGATAATGGGAAGCAGGACACTTTTGGGTCTCCTTGGGACATCCTTGTACCTCTCCCAAGCAGGGATGCTGGAGTCTGTGCTGTCCCTGCCCTGTCTGGAATGCAGCAGAGGACTGGTCTCTGGGTTGTTGTCTCAGAACCCAAAGTCATATCCCAGTTAGGAAAAACAAGTGTTGGTAACACTCCAGATGTCCTGACTCACAGTTTCTGCCCTCTATTAGAAGCACAGTTTGTGCTTGAATAAAACAACACCCTCTAAACACGTGATGGTTTCTGAGTTACTGTCAGGACCCCGACACAAATGAGATGTGGAAATTAACTATGTAACTTAAACCACGTTGATTTTATTTATAGCCAAGCCCACTGCTTGCTGCTCGGGTTGCTAATCCCCTGGCAGAGCCTTCATGCTCCAACCCCCTTAGATGAGAAGAGTCTATTTACAACACTCCAGCATGGATCTGCAAGAACTGCCCTTGGCTTTCCCTTGGTTTCTTGCCAAGAGGTCACAACGGCTCGTTCCCACCCAGAGCAGCATCACTCCGACTTCACTTTCATAAACACTGGGCACCATCCTGGACAGGGAGCTGATCATTTGGGGCTTGTTGCTGCTGAGGAGTTTGTCCTCACAGTGGATGAGCTGCTGCCAGAAGCTGCTGTTGGGTTGTACAACAGGACAGCAGGACTTGACCCCACATATGGGTGCCCACCAGGGACGTGGAGTGGAGCATGATCAGGCAGGTGAGGATCTGCCTGCCCTGGCAGGGCAGTGCAGCGCAGCAGGGTGAGATCCCACCTGTCCCCACGCTGTAGATCTTTGCTGCTGTGGGGCCGGAGCAGCTGGAGATGCGGGTGGTGGGGACAGCCATCATGGGGATGCTCAGGTCCTCCCTGTGGAGGCAGAGGGTGTCCACCATCTCCAGAGAGATGTTGCTGATGGTGCTGACAGGGTGGGTGAAGATCGAGGGGCAGCTGTTGGTAGCTGCCGTGTTGCTGAGGCAGGGCTTGGAGGTGATGTGGGACAGGACAGGGCTGCAAGGGCTCATAGAGTCCCCACCATTGGGGCACCCCGGTTCTGCCCAGAAACACACATGGAAACACACCCTGCCCTGTTCCCTGCCCTGTCCCTGCTGGAACCAGGGTGGTGGGGGTGGTAGAGCACCCCATGGCAACTGCTGCCAGGCAAACAATGGTGTGGGCAACAGGGATGAGCTGCGCCAGAAGCTGCTGTTGGGTTGTACAACAGGACAGCAGGACTTGACCCACATATGGGTGCCCACCAGGGACGTGGAGTGGAGCATGATCAGGCAGGTGAGGATCTGCCTGCCCTGGCAGGGCAGTGCAGCGCAGCAGGGTGAGATCCCACCTGTCCCCACGCTGTAGATCTTTGCTGCTGTGGGGCCGGAGCAGCTGGAGATGCGGGTGGTGGGGACAGCCATCATGGGGATGCTCAGGTCCTCCCTGTGGAGGCAGAGGGTGTCCACCATCTCCAGAGAGATGTTGCTGATGGTGCTGACAGGGTGGGTGAAGATCGAGGGGCAGCTGTTGGTAGCTGCCGTGTTGCTGAGGCAGGGCTTGGAGGTGATGTGGGACAGGACAGGGCTGCAAGGGCTCATAGAGTCCCCACCATTGGGGCACCCTGGTTCTGCCCAGAAACACACATGGAAACACACCCTGCCCTGTTCCCTGCCCTGTCCCTGCTGGAACCAGGGTGGTGGGGGTGGTAGAGCACCCCATGGCAACTGCTGCCAGGCAAACAATGGTGTGGGCAACAGGGCCATGGAGGAGCAGGAGCAGGACAGCAAGGCCACAGAGGAGCAGGAAAGCAGGGCCACAGAAGAGCAGGAACAGGACAGCAAAGCCACAGAGGAGCAGGAGGAGCAGGACAGCAAAGCCACAGAGGAGCAGGAGCAGGACAGCAAAGCCACAGAGGAGCAGGAGCAGGACAGCAAAGCCACAGAGGAGCAGGACAGCACACAGCCCCGTCCCACCCTCTTCCGACCTACCCAGGCTGGGGAGCCTCCCACTGCTGGGGATGGGGACTCTCACACTGGTGGGCTGGAGACCCTCACACCTCTGCAGCTGTGGGACCCCCTCACACCATCCTGGGGCTCTGGGACCCTCACAGCTCCGGGGCTGGGGGCACAGGGCAGTGGGGGGCAGCTTGGCACGCCCCTGCATCCCGCTGCGTGTGACACGAAGCCCCTTCTTGCCCGAGCAGCCCTGCCCTCTTGGATCCTGACCCAGGCTGCCAGGTGTCCCTCAGCCCCCTGGCCAGCTCCACCAGCCGCCGTTTCCACATGTTCCTGCAGGAGAAGGTAACGGTCTCCCCTTCCCCTCACCCCTCCAGCCCCACCAGCACTGCCCCCTGGGACAGGGCTCATGGTCCCAAGGGCACAAGTGGTTTGTTTTGTGTTTGGCTGCTGGTGCTTGTGTCTGGGAGAAGCAGAGTGAGAGCCTCTTTCTCTGAAGCAGGTGGCAGCAAGACCTGCAGGTGATGCGAGGCTGGAGCATCTGGTGCAAACACTCAGATGTCAGCTCCACAGAGCCCTGAAAGCACTGCTTGAATCCTCAGCCCAGGGGTCTTCAGCCTGCTGGGTCAGGATGTGGGTGCCAGGGCTCTCTCCAGGGGAGGGAGAAGGAAATGGTTGAGGGGGGCAGCTACTGTTCTTGGGCTGCCTTCAAGGTGAATGTTTCCAACTCCATCCCAGCCTCAGGACAAGGACACCATATCCTACCTGCAAGTCAGGCATGGTTTGGAACAGGAAGTTGCAGGCATCATTGGCCACAGCCTTAACCTGGACTTGGACATTGTTCCTGTGATATCTAGGGAGATACCCATGGTACTTCCCTAGAATGGGTGAAGCACTGATGTGTGACCTCCCAGCAACAGGGAACAGGCAAAGGTCTTGCAACATGGAGTGGCCCAATTCCCCCTTAAGTGGTTCTTGCTTTGAGGAAGAGGGCCCTGAGCAACAGCAGGTGGGACAGGGTGTCCTGAGGGAAGGCATGGGCTGCCAGCTTGAGTCTACAAGCTCAGAACTGGGATTTAGGGTGGCATTAGACATAATTGGACCTTCTCTCCCCAAGTAGTTCCCTTCAACTTGCTTCTCTGTCCCCATGCAGCCAGGCTTTCTGTCCTTGGCACCCAGCCAGCAGCACCTGAACCCTCTCACCCTTATCCAGTCACATTTCAGCAGTGTCTCAGTTTAAACAGAAGTTTTATAACCTGGGGCTGCAAAGTCCACCCTTCTCGACTGTTTCTGGCAGAACTGTAGGGCCCTGCAGGGTCTGGCTCCACGTATGAGGGACCCTGCTTGGGTAATAAACTGTGCAGCCCTGTAGGAGTTATCAGAGGGAGCAGGGAATAAACTTTCCCCTCTTCACCTCTCAGGTGAGGTTGCTTGAAAAAAGAAAGTCCAATAGTGAAGTCCATGGCTGGTGGGTTCGGTTGCCAACGTCCCTCACTGAAGTCATGGAGACAAGAACTTGTGACACAAACAGGTCCCGACTGGGGGTTCCTTTCTGCTGCCCTGGGGGTGATGTGAGGCAGAGCTGAGGTGTCACCATTTTTGTGAAAGTCCATGATAAAAAGGGGACCCTGCAGATGAGTGCAGCTGCCCTTTGCATCTCAGGTGTCTGCAAAATGAAGACAGGTGCCTCCAGAAGGCCTGTATCTATAGGAAGAAAAGTGGACAATAATTACCGTACATTTTTGTGTTGTCCACTGAAAAACACAAGCATGTTCAAGTGCAGGGGCATCATTTCCTTGGGGGCCACAGCAGCACTGAGTTCTTGTCCAAATGTAACAAAAAATTTTGAGCTCTCATCTCAAAACCTCATGAGTTTTGAGGTCAAAAGTAGTTAAAAACTCACACAACCAAGACGTGAGACAAACATGAACCAGTTTGGGTTCTGGACCCTTGGACTTGGTGATCTCAGAGGGCTTTTCCAACCGTGACAATACTGTGATCTGGTGATCTTTCCTCCCTTTGCTCCCTTTGCCTCTTGGGCTGGTGGTGGCCTCCAGGTAGCTGAGGAGACCCTCCTGGGCTGCAAACACTGGTGAGGTGGGAGCTTGGAGAGATCTGGGCAGTGAAGCCACTGCAGGTGGATCCAGCTGTGCTGTGTGCCCTGGGCTTGTGCAGCACCCACAGGCAGGTTCCTGCTCACAACTAAGACTACCAAGGGGCTACAAACCCCTGACAGCTGCAGAGGCTGCAAGCAGGGAGGCCTGTGCTGCTCCTGTGGTGCACAGGAGATGTGGAGCTCATCACCTTGCCGAGTGAATCCCTGTTGAGGACCCATTTGGACCAGATGACCATATTGTCATTGGTTGGTTTTATCAGGTGGACTTGTTGTTACCCGTGTGATGACTGGGGCTGATACCAGGATGTGATCATTGTGCCCCAGACCTGCTCCTTAGACTAGTGTCAAATGAGTTATAGTCCAAGAGGTACAAACAGGTTGCCCAGGGAAGCTGTGGCTGCCCCATCCCTGGCAGTGTTGAAGGGCAGGTTGGATGGGGCTTGGAGCAACCTGGGCTGGTGGGAGGTGTCCCTGCCCATGCAGGGGTGGGACTGGATGATCTCTGAGGTCCCTTCCAGCCAAACCAGTCTCTAACTCTACAATTATATGATTTGAGTAATTTTTGTCAGACCAATCTTTAGAGTGATACTTAGGGATTTTGGAGCTTTTTGCTTGGAGGTCACCTTGACCACAGGGAGGGATGTGGCAGGAGGTCTCGCTTCCAGCTTTATTCCTCATGGTCAGGCTAGTGGCTGTAAGGCCTTATGTTTGCTTTCATGAAGCTAAAACACTTCGAAGAGGCCAAAAAGAAGACTGAGCATTTCCACAAACGTGCACAGCAGCAGTTTCTGAAAGAGCAGGACAGGAAGATGGAGCGGTGGAAGAAGGCTTCCCAAAAGTTTGAAAAATCCCTGGCAGTGTTCAGTCGCAAGGGCGGGAAGGCAACGGTCCCTCCTGGTCCCTCTGCCTCCCCCGGGACAAGCAGCTCAAGAAGGAACGCAGAGACACGAGGGGAGGGCTCCTCCTGCAGGGCCGCCCAGTCCCAGGGCTTGCCAAGCTACTGGAATTCCCATTGTGGCCGCTAGGAACTTAACGCTGAGTCCTGCTACAGCAATAAAGCAGCACCAACCTTGGCTCTCTCACTGTGCTCATTTACCTTTTCCATCGATGGAGCAGCGTGGTGGCAGCAGCAGTGGACACCTCCCCAAAGGACTGGTCTCCTTCCAAGAGCAAAGTGATGTGAAAGGGAGAGAGTATTTTCTTGGCTTGTGAGGATCCAACCAACATGTTCCTCAGCTAGTTGGAGTTCCTGAAACGTTATCAGAGCTTCAGGGAGGGTAAATGAATCCGTTGCTGGGGGAAAAGAAGAAGGATTGGTGACTTTGGAAGCTTAGGAAACAATCCAGCAAGGAATGGAATATTGAGGGAGAGTTCTCAGGCACAGTGGATCAGCAGCAGGAGAAGGTGGTTGTAGTAGGACTGATGGACTTCTCACTTTTCCCAAACCAGAGACACTCAAAGCAACTGCTGAGCCCCCCAGTAGGATGGGACACAGCTTGTGGTGGGAGTGCAGAGCTGGAGACATTTTCATTCCCCACTCTGGTGCCTGCGGGGCTGCAGCATGAAGTATATTCTGGCTATCCTTGAAAAACGTTAATCCCACTTGTTTTTAAGAAACTCAGCATAAAGGAGGTGCCACAGGTTCTTGAGTTGGCCTGGTTTTCCTGCCAGCATTGTTGGGATTTTCATAACATGAACCTTTCTTGCTTGAAATGGAGCTGAATGTGTTTTGTTTTCTAGGGACTTTGAGGGAATAATGTGATGTTGGGCAGTTGCTGTTACATCCTCACTCAAGTTTTTTCCTTACTGGATTAAAAAATGCTCAGCACCTTCAAGCTGTCCCCTCAGCTGGGATTTCTAAAGGGAATTTCCATGACTAACGTGAAAGGTGCCCATCAGACACAAGGAGACCACACCTGGCAAGTTACAGTCCAGTGCTCAAAACCTGGAGGCATCAGGCCTTGGTGATGGAACATTCCTTCTCAGTCTACTGTAAGGCTTTTTCTTAAATAAATAACAAGGTTTTATCTAAATTTGGGCTCTTGAAAACAGTAAAACCTTTTTGCTTCTTCTTCCCTCAAGCTTTTCTATTGATTCATCCACACTCAGACACCTGCCAATGTCACACATGGTGCTCACTGAAAATGGTAGCTCAGAAGGTGCCTGGCAAACCTGGCTTTAGGAGCAAGGCTTCCCATCTTTGGGACACCTGGGCAAAGAAAGGCCACCTGCTACAGCCTTGCCTTAGGAGGGTTTGCAGCCAGCTGAAGGCATCCTCTGAAAGGTTCTCCAGAGGGTGCTTCTTAGACAGGATCCAGGTGCTGTAAGGTGTGGGGTCACTGAACAGAAAATCAGTGTTTGGCACCTGAGTTGGCTTCAAACCACAATCATAAAGTCTTGTCTCATTCGTTGCCTCCTCATGTTCTGATTTCAGAGCCCTTGGCTTTGTCCCCCTTGGCTCTGCTGTGCAGCCAGCCCAGCAGCAGTTCATCCCTGTTGCCCTCCCAGCAGCTGCATCCACCCACCC